CCATCCTTTCCCAACCAATGGGAACTCTCCCATTACAAGAGTGACATGAGTAACCTGAGTCCCGAAACGGGCCCAGGTAAACAGCAGGAGTCCAATTAGCATATGAATGTAACTTAACATAATCATAATTTGAATGGCTGGCTGGCAGTCACTAAACCCAAAGGTGCCTGTATCAATATTTTTGCTGTGGCTCCTAGCACACAGGACCTTGTTACCTTGGCTCCCTGAGCAGTACCACTCATGTGACCAACATTTCATAATGATTTATGGAAGTATTGCTCTTCTGGATAGTAAACAACAGAAACCAACCCTGACATTTAAGTTGGAAAGGAACTCAATGAGAAGATACTGGTGAGCTCACAGAACTAACTGGAGAACCAAGAGATTTTGTTCAGACCTAAAGCAGCCAGTAAGAGGGCCCAAATCATTCCACAGAGCTACTCCTGTGACCACTGCTCTGTCCTCCATGGAGGGCTGGACCTCCCCCCAGCTCAATTCTATAGCGTGGCTCATTTGTTTTACACACTGAGCATGATATAAGAGATCATTTGCAGAAAATGTTTTTGAACAAAAACTAAAATAAAGTCTTTGAAGAAATGTCTAGGCGTCTCCTAAGTTAGTACTCATACGTAGGCATTTTGATCAAGACATAGAGTGTTGGTTTATTTTGGTAATTAAGAACTGTAGAGCCAAAATTCAATTATKTGTTCATTCAACAAATATTTCTCAAGTACCTCTCAGGTAAAAGGCACTACTGAGTCCCCTGATCATGGGAGGCTTCAGTAAGTTTAAATCATTATGCTCTAGAGAAATGAGCCAGGCAGGAAATACATCCATTCTGTAGAGGAATAAACCAAGACTCAGAGAAGTGAGGTGAGTTGTTCACTTAATGGGCTCATGATTTGAACCCAGTGTTCTGTCTGTGCTGCTGTAGACTTGTCAATCATCTACAGAGCAGCCAGGTAGGTACATGCTGGACGGAGAAGAGATTCCTGAATCTGTCGATTAGTAGGTCACTGTTGGTGACTTTTAAAAAGTGATTTGGATAGCTGAGTGTGGCAACCAGAACTGGCAGTGTGGTGAAGAAATGGGGCTGGCAAGTACAAACCACTCTTTCCAAACATTTGACAATAAAGGAAACGGTTGACAAAACAGTGACTTGAGTAGATAAGAGAAGACAYGAAAAGTTGGTGGGGCTGGAACTTGTATGTTGGAGATTTTATAAAGAGAGAAGACAATAAGATGCAACACAGAGAAATATTTTAAAATGCAAAAGTCACACACACCAATATTTGCTTTGGAGCAAAATATTCTGAGTTCAAATTCTGGCTCTGCTTCTGACTATTAATTAGTAGTCTAAGTTTCCAAAGCTATGAATAGTTTGTGACTCTTATCATTAAGTTTAGGCAAGATGTCCTGTACTTGTGAGCAGGTAAGAGGCAATCCTTCCCTGCTCCGAGTCCCACAGCTCTCTGCTCTGCCCCACTCAAAACTAGAGGTGCTAGATAAAATTACATGTAATGTGGGACATACTAAAAATAATTCTTTTTGTACCTGAAATTTGAATTTAACCAAGTACTTGTTTTTGTATTTCTCATATCTGGCAATGCTACCTCAAATAAAATACCTTGTATCCAATGTGCCATGACAGAAATTTCAGACCAATGGGGATGGTGCTGCCTCCTACTGGTAGAACCTGGCAAGACCAGCCATCATGTGTGCACCTGTTTCTTACCAAAAACAGCAAGTCACAAGATACACGGTGGTTGAGAAGTGGAGTTTTATKAACCTTCTAATCTTTTAGTCTAAACTTATTACTACCATAGCCTACTATCTTTTTAATTTTTTACTGGTATTGACTATTCTTCTTAACCACTTTTTTTGTCAGGGTTAGTAAAATATTACCGTGCCATCAGAACTTAGGATTTCCTTTGGGATTTCAATATGCTCATTTTATATATTTAAAATTATACTTTTTAGCTGGGCATGGTGGTGCACACCTGTAATCCCAGTGACTTGGGAGKCTGAGGCAGGAGGATCAAAGCCAGCCTCAGCAACTCAGTGAGGYCCTCTGCAACTTAGTGAGACACTGTCTCAAAATAAAACATAAAAAGGGCTGGGGATGTGGCTCAGTGGTAAAGCATTCCTGGGTTAAATTCCTAGTATCGAAAATAAATAAATAAACACCTAACAAAACCACTTTAAAGTCACTCTCAGTACCTGCATCTTTATTTATCCTTACAAAAGAATGATGTACTTTATGTTTGTTTTACGTGCTGGCACAGGTAAATAGAGGAGAACTGGTACATAATAGGTGCTTAATGAAGTACCTTTTGTTATTATGATATCATGTTAGCATAGTGCTATTACAGAGAACTTGTTGAGGTGTAAGCAGTCCCTAAGAGCAAGAAAGACAAATGAGGCTTTCTGAAGTCATTCTCTGGCAGGAGTTGAGAAAATAACCAAAGCTCTCCAGGACACTGTTGTCTCTGGATTTCTGTGTGCCAATTGAACTATCTAGGGGCTGATCCGCACATGGTTTCCTCACTCCCGCTGACCACCTGAATCTCATTGACAATGAGATTCAATGCTTCTTTACCTGTTTAATTTTTGGAGGCAAATATCTGAGCTTCCTGCCTGTCAGTTGTATTTGCCAAAGGTATGTGTGTTCTTGAGGCAGCAAGCGTCTCTCAGTTGCCCAGGAATGCAATTCTGTCTTCACACTGAGAAGTCCAGGGCAGGTCAGGAAAGAAAATCTACTGAGTGGCTCAGGCTCCTGGAGGGTTGGTGTCTGAGCACCTGGAAGCAGGAACAGGGTCAAGTTTTGTGCCTGGTAAGTGTGTCCCCTTTTGAGGTGGGTTTCCTAGGGAATGATTCAGGGTTGTTATCAGGGTTTCTTTTTCACTTGTTTTATATGGTCATTAAGCCTCTTTAATGCTCTCTGTTATTAAAAGACAATTTCTCTATTTTTATATAGCTAACACTCTCAGTTCAGAAACGCAATTGGGATCCAGGATGGAGAAAAATGATCAGTTCCTGCAGACGCTGGGCAAAAAGATCGTCAACAAGTGTCTAGATTTGAATAGCTGTGGATTAACAACCSCAGATGTGCGCAAAATGGGTCTGTATGCAGCTGACCTTGTACAGAGAAATACAGGGCTTTTATGTTGAGATGAGCAGGCAAAACACATTCAGTGACTTTGGTAGGCCAAAGTTTGCTGAGCAGTGCGAGATAATGTCAGAAAGAACTGCTGCAACACTATTTATTTATTTATGATGTTAATTCGGTGGCACATGCAAGTAATCCCGGCTGCTCAAGAGGCTGAGGCAAGAGGATCCTAACTTTGAGGACAGCCTCAGCAATTTAGTGAGATCTTGTCTCAAAATAAAAAGGGCTCAGTTGGGCACAGTGGTGCATGCCCATAATCCCATTGACTTGGGAGGCTGAGGCAGGAGGATGATGAGTTCAAAGCCAGTCTCAGCAACTTTGCGAGATCCTGTCTCAAAATTAAAAATTTTTCAAAAGGGATGGGAATGTGGCTCAGTGGYTAATGCCCCTGAGTTCAATCCCTGGTATGTATAAATGAACAGATAGATAGGGCTAGGAATGTAGCTCAGTGGTAGAGACCTCTTCTGTTCGATCCCCGATACTGGAAAAAAATTAGCTGACCCTTCTTCAACCCTTCATCATTCTTCAAATATTTGAGCTGATTTTAGATTGATTCATTTGTTTTTTTCCTAAGCAAATTTGCCTACCTAGTAATTACCTCTTTATCCTTAAAATACATCTGTTCTTGCATTTGATATAAACTCATAAAACTCATCCATAAAACTGAGCCCTGATMGGAATTTAAAGAAGTATTATGCTGTTCATTATTGCGGGATGAAAAGTATAACTCTGGGCAATTATTGCTTACACATTTTTATAAACACACATATACCTTCCATTTTCTGAAAAGCCCTCCTCCCCACACCACCTTTTTTTTTTTAACTCTCTTTTTCTTAGATATCTTAAAACAAGCCTTTAATTAGATTGTACATGTCTGCCAACAAAGAGAGAAACAGAATCCGTTTTGAGTGAGGGGTCCTTAACCATTTGTTCTGATCTATTCGGGCTGTAGACTGGGTTAATTCATAAAACAGAAACCTACTTCTCACAGTTTTGGAGCCTGGGAAGTCCAAGATCAAGACTTCATAGATGGCACCTCCTAACTCTGCCCTCACATGATAGAAAGGGCCAAAAAACTTCCCTTGAGCCTCTTTTAAAAGGGCATTAAGCCCATGCATAAGGGCTCCACCTTCATTACTTAATCACCTCCTACAGGCCCCACCCCTTAGTGCTGTTAGACTGGGGATTAAATTTCAACATATGCATTTTGGGGGTCTGTGAACATTCAGATCAGAGCACTATTTTATTTAACACTTGGACAGGTCYCTTAAGAGGAAACTGTGGTTCCTCGTGCATATGGGATCAGAATCCACTTGCAGAGGGCATGGAAATGCGATCACCAGAATCCAGCTCAAACCTAATGAATCAGCCTTTCAGACGGGCCCCACAATTCTGTATTTTAACAAGCCTCACATGGGGATTCTGATGCAAGCTGAAGTTTGGCCGCTGGCCTGTATGTTGTGTACGGGTATTGCATTTTCTTAATGAGATTACTAACAGGAAGGAGGCTTGATTTCCTTTGTTAAAATCAAAATTGGAGTAAAAGGTTATGGGACACAATCATCTGCTAATTCAATGTTTGATGTTAAAAAAAAAAAAAGCACGTGGTTGGGGCTGGGGTTATGGCTTAGTGGTAGAGTGCTTGCCTACCATGTGTGAGGCACTGGGTTCAATCCTCAGCACCACATTAAAAAAAAATAAAGAAAGAAGATAAAGGTTTATATATATGAAGAAAGGACAAATCTTTTAAAAAGAAAAAAAAAGCATGTCACTGTGTTTTTTCCTTTTTTTTCCTAATGTATTCAATAGTTTAATCCTTTTTATAATATTTTGATTATGGTAAATAAGATGCAGTTGCTAAAGTGCTTTKCATGCTAGTGGAAACTTTTTTATTTGTCACATGGTTTCAGAATTTTGGAAGGACTGGAATTCCTGTGCCTGTAACCACAGAAACTCAATAGGCTGCTTGAATGTGACCACTATTTTAAAGTTCAAGACAGATTTAAAAGCAAGCAAGCAGAGATACTTTATCTCTTCTACTCTAGCATTTCCATTCTCAAGTTTTATTGCTTCAGGAGCTAGGTGCCCTTCAAGAATCTTTTCCACAGAAAGTAAATTCACTTTTAATGAGCAGTGGCAGAGATTTGGAGAAGGCTCCTATCAAGCTGTAAGCCTGTTCAAACCTCCACTTCTTGGTCAACTGAAGTATAAAGTAGTGATGGCCAGGTAATCAAGATAAAAAAAGAAAACATAACAGGCACAGCCAATCTCAGCAGTCCTGGCCTTTAGAGCATTTCCTAGCTCTGAGGATCCAATAGGGTGATGGGTGATGGGTGTCAGGGGGTTTTGCAAAATAAAGAGACTAGAATACATATCACAGTCACAGTGGTCCCAGCAGCARCAGTAGAATTATCATTACTACTATTGGGTTCAACCCCAATAAAGGATCTTATGAAGACATCACCATATTTTCAGGGTACAGTTATTTAGCATSGATAGAAAGCATCCCAAGAAATAGGAAATTTAAATGYCATAATTTCTCCAATTGTACAGCTTGAAAAATCCCTGTTTGGCTGAAAGTCAACATGGCTTACACCTCCCCCAACCTCTTATAGTGCAAAACTAATCTTGTGCATGTAAGATTTGAATTCTGCTTACTAAAAATTACATATACAAATCAGTATTTTCCTCTGTTTACTTCTAGTTGCTTTGCTGCCTTTTCTCCCAGACTTGGAAGAACTGGATATTTCCTGGAATGATTTTGTTGGTGGGAACCTCCCCTCAATCACTCAACAAATGCATGTTACCAGCAAGTTAAAAGTCCTGAGGCTGGCTAGTTGCAGACTTACCACTGAGGATGTCCAAGCACTGGGTATGATGAATGATTTCCTGGAAGCACCTTTGCACCTCAAACCCTCAAGGGCAAACAAATCTATATTACAGACTATCCCGGTGATCATGGTCAATATAATGCAATGYAATGCCGTGTTGGGCACTTGTACAACTGCTGAAGAGTTATGTGACCCTATACTTGGTGTTATGCTAAGCTCTGTGGATAAGGGAAGGAACAAGGCTGACCAGATAACTGCTTTCATGGAGTTTAAGTAAGGCTCTTGTAGCACTAGCTTGCTCTGGGTCTCTGTTACCTCATCTATAAAAGACAGGAGTTGGAGTAGATAATATTTAAG